CTGTCCCTTAGTGTCTTTGAGCAAGGCTAACTTGCAAAATAAAACAAGGGGAAACAAGCAGTTAAAGGAACAATCTTGGGACATAATTAAAACAAGCAGTAACTCAAGAATGAAAACAAAATCATAACCCTGTCTTCCTCATCCTGATGCCTTCTGGCTGACTATAATATAAGTTGTAGGGCATCTGGAAGGAGTTAGGCTGGGGAAGACAGCTCCAAAGGATCATATCAACTAATTGTATTAAGGTAAATTAATGAACTTCTTGCTGTGCAAACTGTAGAGGGTAGCTGAACCCCTGGGATGGGAAGCTGGAGTCTCAAACCTCCCTTCCCAGAAACTCTGTGGGTATCAACAGTTTGTCCCTGCCACATTGCTATCTGTTTTCTGGGCAGTGATTCATTTGGCGCCCTTCCACTTACACTCATAATCTGTGATGCCTTACTTTGCACTTAAAATATCAAAATAAAAGAAAGAATTTTTTTGATGCCACTTCCTGGTCATACAATATAGAGGTTTGCCTCTGTGAAATAGGCTAATTTCACAAGAGATAAATAAATATTGCCTGATTTTTTATTTAAAAATGAGGGTAGAGATGGTTCAAAAAAATTACAACAAATCTGGAAAAGACTATGGAGAAAATATATCTTCCTATATACAACCTGACATATAATTCAAGGCTGACATAAAGCTCAGTTTTCAAACTCAGAATAGTAAGGAAATTAAGGCAATGAGGCTTGACTTAGCACAACACAGAACCAGAATTAAATCTAGTGCAGCATCTGGCTAAATGTTTTTACTTTTACTTTATTTTACTGAAATAGCAAATTTTTGAGGTAAATTTTCCTCTATCATGCTTGCCATCTTTTTTTCTTTATTTTTTATGTTTTATTGTAATTTCTTTGATTGTTGTGAACTGACCAGAGTTGTTGAGAGTCAGGCAGCATACAAATTTAATAAAACTATAATTATTATCATCATCATTATCATCATTACTTCTAGCTTTTGGGGAAGATTCCACTTTAATCAGAGGCTTCTGCAAGATGGTAAACTCCACTGTTGTATAGTCTTGGTACATATAATTATGCCGTTTGTTTTTAAAAGGACCAAACTTTCCTATCTCCAATGGAGGGAGATGCTAGGGTAATGTGACTCTGTGAGTGACCAAGGCCATGTTTCACTTGCGGGATGTGGATTGAGAGACAGTCCATCTAGCAGATAGACTGCACTCAATACAGGTGTACTGGGCTGAGCATGGTAATTCATCAGATAACCTTCTCTACTACGTTGCTATGTGAGAAGTTATTTTATGAGAATTTTAAGTGATTGACCCAGCTCTCATTTTGGACAGTTGTAAAGATGGAGAATTTAGACGGTACCAAGGTCCCCGAACAAAAAGCGACTTTATCAATTTCATCAGTGAGCAAGAATGGAAGTCTGTTGAGCCTGTTTCTTCATGGCTTGGACCATCTTCATTTCTGTAAGTGTCAGCAGAAATTTTTCTGCTCCCTAATAGGTTTGGGCAACAATGAAATGTCAAAGTTTGAATTCTGACTTTAGGTGAATCCAGTTAATTTACAAAACATGATTATACTCCTCAGTAACTGATTTAGGCAAGTCGCCTGGGAAATTTTAACACCAGCTACTATATATATATTACTATTACTATACTATTAGTAACATATATTATAGTACTATAATAATTACTATATATTCTTTTGTGTGCGCATTTATCCTACCAAGTTTAATCATTTATGAAGCTAATATCAGGTTAAGGTCTAAACTAATGACTTCTGAAACAGTAACAGCGTTGATTGAATCTAGTTATTTTATATTTTCATTCCTTTCCTTTAAGAAGCTTAGGGTAACAAAATAGATGATACCTAACTGTTTCATTTTATTCTGTACTGGTCCACCACCACCTTATATTCTGGGTCCATTTATGAACATCTCACTTTAAAAAGAATTTAGGCACACTAGAAGAGGTTCAGAGAAAGGCAAAGGCAATGAGAATGATCAGGGGACTAGAAATCCTTTGAAGAGAACTTAAAGGAGTTGGGTGTGTTTAGCTTTGAGAAGAAAAGATGGCAGATGTAATGGATGGCATGAGCGGGGAAGATTCTGGAATAGAAGTTCAAGGTTGTCAGGAGGGGGGAGAGGCATTCATTCCAGACGCATTCATTCCTCCTCAGCCTGCAACAAGAGTGTGGGAAGACAAAGAAGATGAGGCTGGCCCCTCCCTAGAGTCTCACAGGGTATATCCACTAGTTGCTTTAGCATAGGTTTAGTCTGGTGAGATTCTGACTGTTAGGTGGGAGCTAATAAAGGATCTGAACTGTACTGGATTGCCTCGTTGTTCTTGGGCTGAACCTGACAGCAGTTGAACATTTTGCTGAGGTCAAGGCAAACTATGTCCAAGCCATTTCCTCAATGTATTAAATAACTAATTCTGTCAATAAAGGATATAAAGTTAGTTGGCCATGACTTGCTGGTGTCAAACCCATGACGCCTCTTATTAATTGTTGCATTCCTATCCAAGGGCCCACAAATATGCTGCTTAATAATCTGTTTGAGAATCCTGCCCAGTATAAACATCAAGCTGACAGGCCTTTACCTTCCTGTGTTGTCTTCCTCCCCTTGTTTGAAGATAGGGGCATTTGCTCTCCTGTAGTCTTTTGGGATGGGACCTCACCCATTCTCCAGGAACTCTGCAAGTATCTTTGCCAGTTCTTTCAGTGCCAAGAATGTAATTCATCTGGCCTTGGAGACTTGAGTTCATTTAAATGTTTCTCCTTGTTTATCTGAGTGGCAACTCCTTCATTCCAGTAGTGGCATGATGATGACCAGCAAAGGCTTTGTTTTCCTTCTAGGAGAAAACATACAAAATATTAGTTAAGATAGTCCTTCTCTCTTTTACCTGTTACTAATTCACCCTTTTTTTCTCATAATAGATTTAGAACCTATCATTTCTGGCATACTCCCAACCCTCTTTGTTTGTAGTTGTTGTTGTTTTGGGCATTTCTTGCAAGCCTCAGCTCATTGCATAACTGCCATATTTCCTCCTTTGAGTATAGGCCTCTTCTTTCTTTCACTGTGCAGGCCCTTTTTTTCTTTCCAGCATTTCAGAAAGCTGTGTGTGTTTCTACATTGATCTCTTTAGAGGCCTTCCACTTGTTCTTCTAATAGGAATAATTTACAATTGGGTTTTGGTTGTAGCTGAACATGGGAATTGATTCTGTTGCAGTCAAATGGAAATTGTATGTGCAGCTTTAATAGAAGTTAAACATCAAGTCCCAGATGGGCTGCGTTGAATCACTGAAATCCGCTGAAAGGTCCTTAATTGTAGATTTTATTTTTGCTTCTTTGACTGTAGAATTGCCCTTTATTTTATCTCATGTGCTTCTTTGCAGGATGAGCAGCATGTCTGCCCTGTTTCAGCTTTCCATGTGGATTAGGGTAAGTGCCCCATCTTCCTCTAAGTCAGAGGGCACATTGGGTTTGAGCTGCTATCCAGCCGATTCTCAAATTTGTTTTTCTCCCTTTCAGCACTGTCACAATTACTTCACAGAAAATCTTGGCATACCAAACTGGGGATCCTATGCAATTTTTGCATTTGTAACTTTGTTTTTGGGGTTGCTGTTAGGGCTTGTAAGTAAACATTTCTCTTTGTACTCAGAATTAAAAGAAAGTAAAGCTTGAATGCAGTACTGAAGAATGTTGGTTTTCTTTTCAGATCATGGTGTTTCTGGCAGATTGTATGTGTCCCTCCAAAAAGCAAAGGCCACAGCAGCACCCTCATCAGAGTAAGTACATTGCATGCCTTAAGTGTATTTCTTTTCAGAATGAAACAAGAAAAGGGACCTTTAAGCATTGAGCCAGTCTTGAAATTGCCACCTTGTGGTGATGGAATTCTTTCTTTGTGCGTTTTTATTTTTCATTTTATTTTCCTGATAGATTGGACTGTATGTCCTGTAACCTCACAAAGCCTTGGTATGTCTCCCCAGCTTTTCCAAAAGTTAGTACTGAATAATATGAGAAGAGAAATTATAAAACACATGAGTAATTAAACTACCTGTTAATTAAACAATGATACTTGCTGTTTTTTTCCTAGCTCGGCCCACTTTCAGCAGCACCACTCAGTGGTCAAGTTTAATTTTCTGCTTTGCTCTGGATCTTATTCCTGAAGCAGCAGCAATCGAGGGAGGCAGACTCTCTTGCTTTGCCTGAAAGGAGATAGAAGTGCTATTGTGTCTGGTTGGGCTTCTTAAATAACTGTGTAAGGATTCAGCAAGAGCCACAGAGGGCTTCTGATTTTGTCTGAAGGTGCATTAATGAAAGGGTGATGAGAAGGGAACACTTTCACCCAAGTTTGATACAAATAAACCATTCTTTCTCATCCTAGTGAGGTTATGCCATTTAAACGATGCTCTGTAGCCTAAGGCTCATATTCCTCACATGGTAGGATACAAAGTCACAGAAGAAGTATTGACAGTCCCTTGGGAGGGACCCAACTAGAAAGCAAAATTTATAGCAAGTATCAGTCCCTTTCACCTCTCCAGGAAATCATGAGTTGGTTTTAGCAAGCAGCTCTTCCCCACCCCTCATCTTCAGGACTGGCCTAGGTCGCCTGGCCTTATAAAATTCATGTCAAAATCTTACTCATGCTGTGGTTTGAATCCTGACTTGCTGTTTTGTTCACTGGCAGAAGTGAGGGGAAGTAATTACTTTATTTCTTAGATTTGGATCCTGCTTTTCCTCCAAGAGTTCACCAGAACTTACTTGGGAATCTCTCTTAATTTTACCAGCATAGCAAACTCCAGGAATTAGGTCATGCCAAGAGAGACTGGCCCAAAGTCACCCAATGCATAGTTAAGGGTGGATTTGAACCCTGATTATGCTCCAGTAACTTAACTGTTACAGCAACTGCTTCTCTAGGGCCAGGAGTATGTATTTTTCCCTCTCATTCACAGAAGGGAAAGGAAGCCATTTTTGCTGTCTCCTCCTTTATAACCTCAGCACCTCTCCTGTGCTATTCCAGGGGTCACCCGACTCT